GGTCAGGGACAGGATGTCTAAAGTGAACAAAGGTAATTTCAGGCTTTGGAACGGTCGTTTCTGCGCATTTTATACACTTTCTGAAAATATGACAACAGCTTCCGCCCCATCTCGTCAGTAACTGACGTGACGGGGGTACCCGGCGCGTCAAAATCGGACGTAGAGGGAACCTCGGAAAAGCGTCAATATGTGACGACTTGGGAGTGAGAATGGGTTGAAAATTCTGATACCGTATTAGTTTGTACACCAACAAATCATGTCACACTCCAGCAGGATATAATCATTAAAATAAAAGTTCTGTACTGAAGAAGTATTTGTATTTCATGAATTATATTATTGCATTTGGTCTGCTACATAAATTTAATATTTTAATACAATACAGTCATTTCTGCAGTTTTTGGGGAGGTCACATCTTAATAAATGTCGTTACAGAAAATCTAATTGTTCATTTTAAATCAAAAGTTTTACTTTTAATACTTAAGTACAAAAATATCAGATACATCTTCAAGTAATATTACTAAAGGAAACTTTAACTTTTACCAAAGTAATTTTTTGGTAAGATACAGTACTTGTACTTTTACTCAAGTATCACTATGTAGTACTTTATACAACACTGCTAACCCCATTGTCATGTTTGAGGAATAAAACAAATAGTTTCAGATAGTATGAAGTAGTAAAGTTGGATAGAAACATTTATCTGTCAGTTTGACTCATATCAGTTTTTCACCCTGTAGACAGAAGAGGACTACATCCCTTATCCAAGTGTTCATGAGGTACAATTACATTCTGACTGCAAATACATTCAGTTTTACTACTAAATACATAATTTTAATGATTATAATCCATCTCTGTCAGGTTCTGGGTCGCAGAAGTCCCTTCCCGCTCATCCTGCTTCCCCAGTTTGGAGGGTACTGGATCGAAGGAACCAATCATGAACCCAAAGACCCTCCAGAGGCTGATCAGCCTTCCTGCCTGGCTTCACACATCAAACTGGAGACAAACAGCACAGCGAAGATCTACAGGAAGAATTTCATGGGCAAGGTGAGGAGGCCGGTCTCATGATTGTTTTAATTAAAAACAATT